GAATTTATGAAATCTGTATATACAAGTAGTGTGAAAAGTATTAAGGTCCATCCATCATTCTCCTCTCTCATTTCTGCCTTCTGCAAACTTCCTTTTCTGTCACTACAGCTTGTTTGGTTGGAAATTTGTTAAGGCAAATTTTGTTATGTTATCAGTATATCTTTGTACCTATTTTCTACCAATAATGAATATTAATTTTTAATTAAATTTTATCATAATTATACTTAAATAAATGGATAATAAATCATTAATATCATTCAGTATCTGGTACATATTACAAATTCTCCAACTACCTCAAAGATGATATTTATTTTTCTCAAATCGCACAAATCACAAACACTCCACACATCACTGCACTATTTTATTATACCAAAGTATATATTGTATTGTAGAAAATATGCATTGTGTATATGTGGGAGGGTATGTTTTTACACATATGTGTGCACTATTAAATGAGAAACGTGGTCATGAATGTGGTAGGATTTTGCACATTTGGCATATTGATAGCTTCTCTGGCAACCTTATGTGATTTAATTCATAGTCATTTGTCTGGGAAGAATATTACGTATGTACTGCTGTTTAAATTCTATCATTATGCTTATAACAATATAATAAAAATAAGTATGGGATATAATAAAAAAGAAACAGAAAAATCTGATCTTAAAAATGTGAACTCTCTTAGTTATTTTTGCATTTCAAATATAAGTATGTTTCTTTTCTGTGGGAAGTTTTGTTAGAAAATGTAAGTGATACAATTAACAAGCATATGACATTTATCAAATTAATAAAACCAAGGAGTTTATAAATCATAAAATTTTGAGGACAGTTTCTCAACTATAATATGTAACTGTTTTATTTATAAATATAATATTTCAAAAATATTATATGAAAAGAAAATAAGAAAACATAATGTTTGAAGATCATATCAAACTAATAATTTATTTGGATTATCAGTCTGTGTTGCATAAATTTTTGTTTATTTCATATCCTTTTTAGATGTCATATATATGTATATTTGAAATTTTTATTTAGTGTCTTCATTTCTTGTTGTCATGTATGTTTGCAATCTTTAATTTAAAAAAAAGAAATCAACCAATAATGAATGTTGATAGGGTTTTGGGGAGAGTGGAACCCTTCTCCATTGTTGGTGGAAGTGCAGACTGGTGCAACCACCAGTCAGAAATCAATATGGAGATACCTCAAACAACTAGGGTTAGAAATCCCATTTTACCCAGCTATTTCTTTGCTGGATATCTTCCCAAAAAAGTAAAAGACTCATACCACAGTGATATATGCTCACTTGTGTTTATAGTGGTATGGTTTGTAATAGCCAAAACTTGTAAACAGCCCAATCACCCATCAAATGAAGACTGGATAAAGAAGAGGTGTTGTTGGGGTTTTTTTTTAACATGGAATACTATTCAGCCAAAGAATAAGAAACGAGAGACATTTATAGCTAAGTGGATGTACATTGAGCCCATACTCTTAAGTGAAATTAATAGGACACACATGTGTAAATACAGACAAGTTTCTCTGGTGTGAAAAACTAAAAGTGCAAATAAGGATCCAAATGTATAATTGATATTGTGTAATAGTAAGCAAAGGTCTAAAGGAGTAAGGGAAGTGAAAAATATGAGAAAAGGAAAAAATGGAAACAAAGTCTTTGTAAATAGGGAAAGGTGGAGGGGGTAAAGGGAGTGCAGAGGAATGGACAAAAAATAAGAACCAAGAGACATCATGCAAAGGTACAAGATCCCAATGATGAGTGTAACTGTATTGTATACCTAAAAGTTTCCAATAAATTTAATGAGAGAAAAATAAGATTAATAAAATCTATCGATCCCTAGTTTTGGGAGCAATTCTACATAATTTTGGGGAAAAATCACTTCATAATTCAAGTTGTGATTAGGCCTAGTTTTCCTATCTATCTACCACCTATGGCATGCCGAGACATAACTCCATATTCACCTCCAGTCACAGCTAAAACTGTGATACTGTGATGCTCCAGGGCAGGATTACATCAACTGAAGATATCTGGGGAGGAACAAAAACCTTCATCTATATAAGCTTCTCATTGCCCTAAAATTATCCCAGCCTGCCCTCTGAGCCATCTGTTACTTCCAATGTACCAGATAAAGGTGTGGCAAGATCAGGGTTTTTCGTCTTTGCTGCCCAGAGCAGCATTGACCAGGCCCGAAGCTCAGCTTCTCTAAATCTCATTTTTTCTGTCTGTATTCTTTAATTTGCCTTATGCTGTTGTGGCTCGCAGGAGAGTAGGACTCACTGCAGGAGTTCTAGTAACATCCCCTTCCCCTGTTCCCTATACCCCTTGCAACCTCTGGTTCATTTATCTTTGTCACTATCTCTTAAGTACTGCCATGCAAAACTCATTGACTACCATTTTTTAAAAATAATTGGAAACTTGGAAAAGATGGACTCACAGCAACCTGGTTCGATCTTAAGAACATTGCTCATTGTCTGAGGAGCAGCTGGTAAGAAGTTTTTCCCACATTGTAGGTTGTCTCTTAATTCTGTTGATGGCTTCTTTTGCAGTGCAGAAGCTTTTTAATAAGATGAGATCCCAGCTGTTGATTCTTTCTGCTAGTTCCTGTGCTACTGAGGATTTGTTCATAAAGTCTTTTCCTATGCCAATGTCTTCCAGAGTTCTACCTAACTTATCTTCCAGCAAGTTTAGTGTTTTTGTTTTTATATTTAGATCTTTAATCCACTTGGATTTTAATTTAGTGCATGGTGATAGATAAGGGTATAGTTTTAATCTTTTGCAGGTTGAGATCCAGTTTTTCCAACACCATTTATTAAAGAAGCTATCTTTCCTCCAGTGGGGACTGTCAGCTCCTTTGTCAAAGATGAGGCGTAATCATACCACAGTGATATATGTGCACCCATGTTTATAGCGGCACAGTTTGTAATAGCTAAAACTTGGAAACAGCCCATTTGCCCTTCAGTTGGAACTGGATAAAGAAGAGGTGGTTTTTTTCTATAAAATGGAATACTACTTAGCCATAAAGAATGAAAAAGTAGATTCATTCATAGGTAAATGGGTAAATTTTGAGGATATACTTCTAAGTGAAATATATAAGTCACACATATGCAAATACTGAATAGTTTCTCTGGTGTGAAAAACTAAAATAGTACTCAAGATCCTAAAGGGATAATTAGCAACATGAAATAGGAAGAAAAGGACCAAAGGTGTAGGGACAGTGAGAAGGATAGGAAAAGGGGAATAAGGGAAAAGGAAAAAAAATATGAGAAAAAGTAAAAATGGAATTAAAGTGTTTGTAGGTGGGGAGGGGAGGAG